AAGGATTTCTAAACGTCTGCATGTTCCAGTGAGCACTGTTGGGGCCATAATCCAGAAGTGGAAATAACATAATTTCACCAGCTCCTCGCAAGTGTTCTGACAGAGGAATGAAAATAATTATCAGAAGAGTTGTCCAAGAGCCAAGGGTCTTCAGAAAGACCTGGAGTTAGCAGGTACAATTGTTTCAAATAAAACAATAAGTAATGCACTCAGCCACCATGGCCTGTATGCACGCTCACCACGCAAGACTCCATTGATGAAGAGAAAGAATGTTGAAGCTTGTTTAAGGTTTGCTGCACAACATTTAGACAAACCTGTGAAATACTGGGAGAATACAGTCTGGTCAGATGAGTCCAAAACTGAACTCTTTGGATGCCATTTGACACACCATGTTGGGAGGTCAAATGGCACTGCACATCACCCCTTTTTCAGCATACGGCACTGACAATCTCCATATCATTGAAGGACGGATGAATGGAAAAATGTACAGAGACATTCTTGATACAAATCTACCAGGATGATGAAGATGAAAGGACTGGCTTATCTATAGCCAGTTGAGTAGCACTTGAAATGTTGTGGCTCTATGAAACCTGATGTACTTATGATTCTGTTTTCTTCAAGGTTGTATCTTGTTGGTCGAACGCACTTATTGTAAGTCGCTTTGGATAAAAGCGTCAGCTAAATGTAATGTAATGTAATGTAATGAAACGAGGGTGGACATTTCAGCAAGACAATAAACCCAAATACACAGCCAAGGAAACTCTCAATTGGTTTCAGAGAAAGAAAATAAAGCTGTCAAGCCAATCACCTGACTTGAATCCAATAGAAACTCCATGGAAAGAATTAAAGATCAGAGTTCAAGAGGCCCACGGAACCTTCAAAATCTGAAGTAGCTGTTTGTGTGGAAGAATGGGCCAAAATCCCACCTGAGCAATGCATGAGACGAGTTTCTCACAGGAGGCGTCTTGAAGCTGTAATTACCAACAAAGACGTTTGTACTAAGTATTAAATACATGTCGGTAAGCATGTTCAATACTTTTTACCTGTGTCATTCCATTTTATTACACTTAACTTAATTTCTGAACATATTTGTTTTGGTTTCTTTGCATGTGTGAAGTGCATGGGTTGTTACCGACATCTGGTGAAATTGTCATGTCAATAGCAACTTTAGAAATACATTTACTGAGAAAAATAGTGACGTGTTCAATACTCATTTTACCCAATGTATATGTATGATTTCTTTGAATGACATTTCCACAGGTGTTTTGTTTATGTTAGAGAAATATGAAGATAAAGCCAAACACTCCTTCTCATAGCTCACCTGAAGAGACATGGAAAACTAGATGAGTAACAACGCTGAACAGATTGTAGATGATGGGTGAAGGAGCTGTAACATATTTATTAATATTTTAGAATTGTGGTATTTGTATTCTTGCTTTTAGGATGTCTATCACCATCTGGCAAAGGGACTATCGATGAAAACTGGCTTTTTGGCTAATTCGAGTACTTTTACATGTTTTTAATATGTTGATTAATGTACACTGTCCCTTGTTTTAAATAAATGCAATCAGAATCTGATTTGATCCCAGAGGAGTCGTTAGTCTCTTACCCCTATTCCATCCAGGTGGTTCCAGGCCCGGTTGAAAACCAGTTGTTCGTCTTTTGATGGCTCCTGATCCTGAAAACGGTTTCATCTCCAGCGCCAACAATTTACCCAGACAGCTCAAAGAACCAAGTGCGGAGTGGCATATGTCTGAGGTGACAGAGGCGCAAAGTGACTAGAATGTAACCACACGTGCATTTATATTTATATATAAAAGTTGCAGAACATGGCACAAGTGACATATTATTATTCATCGTACTCTGATGAATGTCAGGTTTTTCAGATTCTGACTCTGAAACACTTCCAAAGCTTTTGAATCAATGTGAAGAACATGAGTTTTCAGTCATCTGATTTTATTCCTTCAGTAAGTCGTACAGTCTTTTCAAAGCGTTACCCTCCAGAGTGTGGGGGGGGCCATGTTTATATGGATGGACCATTTGAACCAACTGCCCAAATACAAAGACCTGAATGTGTCTGTATTAAGCTAAATATGTATTCCGAACTGCCTCACTACCATTCCCAATTTAAATCATATACAAAAGATCTTGGACCCAGGCATTCATAAAAAAGTCCAATATAGGTAGTCTGAATCCAAACTGACATTAAAGTGTACCATTCAGATATGTTTTGTGAAGTGCAACTTCACTGCTTCCCCTTCCACCTGTTAGATATCAAAATATATTATGTATTTTCTTCTTTGTCTTGGGTTATGGCAGAGATGGGGACTCGAGTTGGTGACTCGGACTCGAGTCGCACTTAAGTCGCACACACAGAGACTTCAGACTTGACTTGGACTCCTGCTCAAAAGACTTCGGACTCGACTTGGACTCGTGTTTTGGGACTCGTGAACAATCATTGTGTTTTCTATTTTTGGCGTATTAAAGGTGGGGTAGGTGAGTTTGAGAAACCGGCTCGAGATCGCTAGAATTTGAAAATACACAACCGGAGAAAATCTGCCACTTCCTCACAGAGCCCCTCCTCCAACACACACGAACGCGCACATGACCAATGAGGGCACGAGATAAGTTTGTGCCCCGATGGGAGGCTGACAGGCAGGTAGGCTATCCAGTTATTATAGCCGGGCCGGCTAAAATAATTGGTCGTGCTTTTTACAGTACCACAGCTTCCACAGATGAATTTTTTTTATGGATTTTTTGTCAAAGCACTTAAGATATTCATTGCTATCTGGATGTTACGAGGATTCCATGGAATATAACATAAAGCCGGTTTCTCAAACTTACCTACCCCACCTTTAACATTAACATTAACACCATGGCGACCGGCGGCACACCTGCAGCTGTATCGCTTGTAATTAGGTTCAACTATAAAAACTTCGAACAAAACGCCGGCGGCACCAACAACAGGAGCGCACACTGCAAAGTCTGCAATATTAAAATCGAGGATGCTGGTGCAACAACGTCAAATGTCATCAGGCACTTGAAAACTCACCCGGAGAGGTCAGTCACATTAACGCATATGGACGGTTAGCAAACATGTTTAGCTCAGCATCAGCTATGTAATGTTAACTTAGCTTGCTACTAGCTTTGTAACTGAATATTTGAAAAGATGAGTGAATGTTTGCTTGTCACACTTGTTTGCGTTGAGTGGCGTTGACATCCAACTCTTGACATGACATAAAAAAGGTCGGTAACGTTAATCATTACGTTCCGCTGCCACCATCTACTGGCTAACGTTAAACGTAGAACAATACATAGTTACATACATAAATACATCTGTCGGTTTATAGGCAGGTTACAGGTTTATTGTTGACCACGTAACGTTAATGTTACAGGTTTATCAGGTTACCATTACACTGGGTTTGAGTGAGAGGATAGAGGAATATGTTTATTTATAGTAGACTTAAAAGATGTCATTAGAGACCCAGTGTAATTAAACAATACGGTTGCAGAGGTCAAATTTTAACATTTTTGTCCACTGGCCAAATGGCTAGCCTAGTGAATGTTGAACTGTTACCACCACTCAATAGATTGCCATTGTTATTTGTGGCTGGTGCGTGCAACATACAGTACCAGCCACTTGCATGATTTACCAGCATTTGGCTGGTAAATGGTGTTAATGGTAGATATCTCTTTTGGAACAGGTCATGTTTTAATATCACCAGTTCAGTATATTTCAGATAATATTGCAGCAATAGTTTTTTAGTTGCAAATGGCACAGAACAAATGTTTACTTTGAAGTACTTTTAACACAGTTTCCCTGCGGGGGATTAATAAAGTATTTGTGATACTGATTTCTGATTCTGAAGTGTTTTGCTTATAAGTTGTTTGCATTTAGCTAAAGTGTGATGTTTTTCCTCATATTGCATTGCAATAGCCTGTTTAAAGTGATCATATAACAAACAACTAATCAGTACTGATACTGTATGCTAATAGATATAGGAGTGATAATAATACAGTAAATGCTTTGAATGTCTTATATATAGCTGTGCAGTATTCTTAACAGACTGGATAGCAGCAGACAATAGAAGGCGTATTACAACCAGAAGAGACGTGAGACTTTTATTTTTTAGAGACTTGAGACTTGACTTGGACTCGTGACCAAAGACTTGAGACTTGACAAAAAAGACTTGTGAACATCTCTGGGTTATGGTCACACAAACGTGGATACATTCATATCAAATCCAAGCATCCTGTTCATCAATGTATCCACATTAACATTTAGTTGCAAGATAAATGTTTTAAAGTTGTGTTATTACTCCTCAAATGGTGAGCTGTTTTCTCTTGTTCTGTGTTTTTTTCCAAACTCTGAACGGCTTTAATTAACCAAGTTTTAGTTGATGTGGTTTATCAAACAAGCAAACTAATAGTTACAGGGTATATGCAGGAATCCTGAAGTCAAATGTAAAACCTTTTAAGACCCTTTCCATACATTTTAAGACCTCATCGCCACTTCGAGTTCTAACCGGTTACCTTGGCGACACACTTTACCTCACATTGACTATACACAGCATTGATTGTCCTTCCTCCTTATCTTCCGACCATTTGGACGCAGACTTGCATTTCCCCATAACGATGTTGTTTAACAACCGGCGTAAACGGACCTTCGCGCGCTATCAAGCAGTGAGCGCGCGATGTCCTGTTCAGATGACGTCAAACCCAACGGGATGCCATCAATAAACTACACAGAATCACACTACACACCTACGCCATGATTACATTCAGGCACACTGTAGAATACAACCTCTTTGGACCATTTATATACTTATTGAAAACAAGCTACAAAATGTAATACCTTGGAAAATGCCGTTTAATACTTTTTAATAGCCTTCATTTTCGCTAAATTGATTTATCAACTTTAATACTTTTTAAGACCCCGGGGACACTGAGTTAAATCTAAAAATATTTTTAATGTGGAACACATACTTTTAATTTGTTCTGGGTTTTATAAAGCAAAGCTTTTAGAGGGGCATAGTTAAAAACGGTGGAGGAAGGGCATTAATAAACACAAGAGTTTTCATATTCATCCAAATGACTGTGGACATGTATTGCCTGTGTTGTTGCAAGTGTCATGTGTATGTATCCTCCGTGCGCCTGGGCCTCAGCTCGGCTGCATCTTCTGTCCCATGTGCGTGCGAATGTGTCGTTTGTAATTGGAGTTGTCGCTGAATCTGCGCCCACATTCATTGCAGCAGTATGGCTTCTCACCCGTGTGAATTCTCAAGTGTTTCTGATACCCGTCAAAGCGTGTGAGTTTCTTTCCACAGATGTCACACGTGTACGACTTGTCCAATTTGTTCTCTGCGTTGCGGTGCACCTGCACGTGTTTGGCCCAGTGTCCTCGCTGCGCGAAAGCACGGCCGCAGATGGTGCAGATGTACGAGTCCACCACCTCAGACTGCGGTAAGTCCAGGTCCACACAGTCCAGCAGGCCGTTACCTGAAGCTGCATTTAAAATTCCAGGGGCCGCCTCCGGCACGGGATAGGTCTGCACCAAGGTGCCTGAATGGGTGTCGGGGTCTGAGGTCAGGTGCTCGTTGTCCTGCTTGTTTCCCACATCTCCACTCTGGAACAACAGGAAGGTGACGTTGTTCTGCTCCACAGTCTGGGGCTTCTCCTCCTGCCACAGCTCCTCCTCCTCCTCCTCCTCCTTGATGGGGGAGGGGGTCATCTCATTGAGGCTGGAGCCCCACTCCTGCTGCACACTGAGAGCTGAGGCACAACAAAGAAGAGTCGGAACATGATCAAAACTCAAGTTTTTGTACTAAGAAAAGCTTCAAATACTATAAATGTGATCTGTTGTAGTTTCCTTTTGTATTACCAGACAGTCGCAACACAATAAAAATCAAGCAGTTTTTTTGCTATGAAAAAAAAATCAGCAGTGGTTTGAGCTTATGGAATATGCTACAGTGTTGGGACCTAATATTTACTTAAGAACTGTACTGTACATTTTGCTAGTATTTCTATTTCCAGCCACTTTCATCTTCATCTTTAAAGCCAATATTGCACTTTATTAGTAACTAGTGACTTTGCAGATTTCAGATTGTTGATACAAAATACAAATCAACTATTTAATTATCTTGTATTATTGTAATTTAAGTTACCCAGAAGGGCGGCAGGATTTCAAGAAAATATGCGATAACATTGTTGAATATTTAAATGAGGATGTCACTTGCCATAAACAAATACCTACGGTGGCCCTGAAGTACAAGTCAAAACAGCATTTCAGAAAACACCACCGCATTTCAGGAAAGGGTATTCCTTTAGGGCAGTGCTTCTCAAAGTGTGGTCCGCGGACCACTGGTGGTCCGTGAGCGCCCCCTAGTAGTCCGTGAGTATATTAGTAACATTTCACATTTGAAATAAATACATTTATTTAAGTTTTTCGCACTCTCGCGGCAATATCTCCGCAATGGAACGAGCTTAAGTTTCACTTTTGATTGCATGATATAGCCCAGATAAGCACCTTCATCACACATGTTGCCACTTGTTTGTACAATTTTCAGACGATTTGTAAAAAACGATGTGTTTTTGGATATTTGTGGAGTTAGGTGGTCCGCGAGTGTTTTTTTATTGGTTAAGTGGTCCTTGGTATGAAACAGTTTGAGAAACACTGCTTTAGGGAGAACACTTCTTGTTTGTGATTGGACAGAGCCAGCCAGAGAAGCACTGCTGTGATTGGTTGTTTTTGCTGCCAGTCAAGAAATGATGCGTCGTGATTGGTCAGTACTAGGGCTGAACGATTAATCGATTTTAAATCGAAATCGCGATTTGAAATGATGCGATTATCAAATCGCAAAGCCTGCGATTTTTTTTAACATTTTATTTTGTTTACAATTTTTTTTTTTTTTTACAATTTTTTTTTCTTTTTCTTGTGTGTCAGTCATCCACACCAATCAGAAGTGCTGTGCTCCACATGTACCAGCCATTGTTAATCAATCAGAAGTGGCCCATGATAGAAGGTGATAGACAGATTGATCCAATGACCTGCCAAGTGCTTTTGAAAGTGCCTTCCCTTTCCAAATGGCTTCCAATGAAGCTTTCCTAGATGGTTTGGTGAAACAAACCATCTGAGTCAGGTTAGTAATGCTCCCTCACATGTTTTACATCTATTACAGGGTGAATCTTAAACTGAAGCTTGACTTTAGAGCAACCCAACAGAAGTTTCATGTAAGTTTAGTTCTTTCATTCGTAGCTCGGGCTGCGGGGGTGCTAGAGACGGGAGTACGTTAATACGACTTATGAGTTATGGCCACATTTTACAATAAACTTCCGTTGGGTCGCTTAAAAACAAATATCGCAATTCGAATCGCAATATTTGTCAGAAAAATCGCAATTAGATTTTTTTCCAAAATCGTGCAGCCCTAGTCAGTACCCGACATCGCAACATGTCCCGAAACATCAGCCGTTAGCTGTTAGCACTCAGAGCTCACAGCTCCTCATATCTGTTCAGAAACTAGACAAAAGTTAAACAAGTACAAACCACAGACTGTCTGTGTCATGGAGAATACAGTCGTTGCTTTATTTATGTCTGTATCATGTTGTGAGTGTGGACGGAGCAGCTACAGGTTAGTTTAGCCTGATGGATCCGATTCCATCCAGAAAACACGCATTTTAAAAGCTTTTCGCCTGCCGTCTGTCTGCAGACTTGTTAAAGCGTTAATTCATGGTTTTTACTAACCGGTATCAGTATGTAGTTACTTCGGCATCATTTTGAAACGTGTATTACAATGAAATCACGGTCAAATATGTTCATTTTGTTGTAGTCTACCATAGTATTTACATGGATATAAGCCCCAAATATTCGCATCGCTCTAATCGCTCGAGTTTCATGTTTCACCGCGGCTGTCAGCTGTGTTTACTCCTGTCATTCAAACAAGACGCACTGGAGAGGGGGCGGGGCTTATATCTGTGCGAATACTTTGGTAGATACCACCTACATTACATTGCATTTAGCTGAGGCTTTTATCCAAAGCGACTTACAATAAGTACATTCGACCAGGAAGACACAACCTTGAAGAAAACAGAATCATATAAGTACATCAGGTTTCATAGAGCCAAACATTTCAAGTGCTACTCAACTGGCTTTAGATAAGCCAGTCCTTTATTAGTAACCTACAACAACATGAACATATTTGACCGTGATTTAATTGTAATACACGTTTCAAAATGATGCCGAAGTAACAACATACTGATACTGATACTTCGTACATCCAGGACATGGTTAAACTGTACACCCCAGCACGTGCACTACGCTCTGCATCAGCCAAACGGCTCGCTGCACCCTCGCTCCGAGGGGGACCCAAGTTCCCATCAGCAGAAACATGTGGGTTTGCTATCCTGGCTCCAAGATGGTGGAATGAGCTCCCCATTGACATCAGGACAGCAGATAGCTTGCACATCTTCCGGCGCAGACTGAAAACTCATCTCTTTCGACTCCACTTCGAGCGATAGAACTATTAACAAAGTACTTATATACTAATAAAGGACTGGCTTATCTAAAGCCAGTTGAGTAGCACTTGAAATGTTTGGCTCTATGAAACCTGATGTACTTATATGATTCTGTTTTCTTCAAGGTTGTGTCTTCCTGGTCGAATGTACTTATTGTAAGTCGCTTTGGATAAAAGCGTCAGCTAAATGCAATGTAATGTAATGTAATGTAACGTAATGTAATACCGGTTAGTAAAAACTATGAATTAATGCTTTGACAAGTCTGCAGACAGACGGCAGGCGAACAACCTTTTAAAATGCGTGTTTTCTGAATGGAGATCGGATCGTTCAGGATAAACCAACCTGTAGCTGCTCCTTCCACACTCACAACAACGGCAGACAGCGTCAAAATCGACAGTGCTTTTAAATTGGATAGACAGATTAACTCTGTGGTTGAGTCTAGGTTTTATCCTTTTTAGACTTTGAGCGTGTAATTCATGCCTTTGTTTCTACTCGTCTAGATTATTGTAATGCACTTTATGCCGGCCTAAACAAGACCTCGCTGGCCCGCCTGCAGCTGGTACAAAACGCTGCGGATCGGCTGCTTACAGGAACACGCAAGCATGAGCACATCACACCTATTCTGGCTTCCCTCCACTGGCTTCCTGTCCATTTTAGAGTTCATTTTAAGATTTTAAGATTCTATTGTTTATAAATCGCTTAATGGGCTGGCCCCTCAGTACATCTCCGACCTCCTACTTTGAGGTCGGCTGATCTGCTGCTAGTAGTCCCTAAAACAAAGAAAAAGACCAGGGGAGACCGAGCCTTCTCAGCGGTAGGCTCTGGAACGACCTGCCCTCCCATGTCAAATTGTAGCCCACCCTACAAACTTTTAAGTCCCTCCTGAAGACCCACCTCTTTTCCCTCGCTTTCGAGTCAGTTTGAGCTGTGTTTTATCGACTGTTCTGCTTTTATTGTCTGTCCATAGCCTTTATGTGCCTTTTATCTATTATTGTAATATTATATTTTATTATAATGTTATGTTTCCTGTGAAACACTTCGGTAAACCCTCTGTTTATAATATTTGCTATATAAATAAAGTGGATTGGATTGGATAAATAAACCAGCGACTGTATTCGCCATGACACAGACAGTCTGTGGTTTGTACTTGTTTAACTTTTGTCCAGTTTCTGAACAGATATGAGGAGCTGTGAGCTCTGAGTGCTAACAGCTAACGGTTGATGTTTCGGGACATGTTGCGCTGTCGGGTGCTGACCAATCACGAAGCGTCATTTCTTGACTGGCAGCAAAAACAACCAATCACAGCAGTGCTTCTCTGAATGGCTCTGTCCAATCACAAACAAGAAGAGTTCTCCCTAAAGGAATACCCTTTCCGTATAAGTTGAAATGCTGCTGTGGTGTTTTGTGGAATGCTGAGTGTTTTGTGGAATGCTGAGTGTTTTGTGGAATGCTGAGTGTTTTGTGGAATGCTGTTTTGACTTGCACTTTAGGGCCACCATAAATACCTTTATATACAGTTAATATCTTTCTGCTCTGCGTTCACTGCCAACATTTACCCCCAGGCAGTAGCTGATACAGAAACTGAAAAAAAGTTAAAAGCTATATTTTCATTCCAACAACATGATGATTGTTCATTATTTAGGAATCAGTTAAGAAGACAGAACATTTTAATGTCCCCTTACTTCTACTCCACTACAGTTCAGAGTAAAATGGTGGACCTTTAGTTACTTTACAGATCTGGATGAATGATGTGAAATCTAATCAAGTGTTGAATCAGACTTTAGTTCCACCTGGAGTAAATCCACCAGCTACCCTGCAGTATACAAAGCCATTCAAACTAGCTGCACCTTTACCAGCTTTGAGAACACTTTCATGATCAATCATTATAAAACATATCATATATATTATTCTGAAATGGACCAATCTGCACAATGACTACTTTTACTTTTGATACAAGTACATTTTGATGCCATTTTCTTTTGTACTTTTACTTGAGTAACATTTAGAATGCACGACTCGAACTTGGGTAACGTTTAGAATGGAGTACTGCCCTGTCTCCCACACACAGAAGGTTGACAATAAAGTAGACTATGACGTTTACTTCTTACACATCTGATGTTCAGCTTTATTTGGACAATAGGCTCACTTTACATTGCAAACATAAAGCAGTTAAACATTGGGAAAGCAGCTAGTTAATGTAGTATAGTGTATTTCGCATTTGTGAACAGCAGCTTCATTCAGCGGCGGCTCAGTGAGCAGGGACCGGCAGAGAGTGCCTGCTATCGGCCATGAGGTTCCTCACCTGAGCTGCGGTGCTGCACCGAGACCTCCGGCTGCAGGGAGAGCTCCAGCAGCCGGCGCTGGCGCTCGATCTCCAGCTTGGAGCGGGAGATCTCCTCCTCGTACTCGGCTATGGTTCTCCCGAACACCCCGAAGATCTCCTCGGCTGCCGCCGTGAGCCGCTGGGTGATGAGCAGCCTCAGCATCTCGATTTTAGACATAATAGCGGCAAAGTTCTGATGGAATCGGAGGTTCGCTCTCCGAAGCGCTGTGGACACTTGTTTACTAGCTACTCTTCCTGGTTCCTGTCTATGAGCATGCGCAGTGATGCTTTCACTGGTAACTAAAGAATGACACATGTGGTATCGCCCCCTGTTGGACTGGATGCCAGTGGTGGACGAAGTGAAAACAGTAGTAGTAATATTACTAATATCAAAGTAAAACCTCAGTAAAAGTAAACATTTATTTCCATCAAAAAGTACTGAAAGTACCACAGGTAAGTACCACACTTACCTGTGGTACTTCACAAAGGTCCATTTCAGAATAATATATATTATTGAATTATAATTTCTGATGCATTAATGTGATAATTGCTGCTATGTTTTAGACGGTAAAGGAGGAGATTATTTGTGTCACTATGTAGGCCTATATGGTTTAACTGAGGGATCAATGGAGTTTATCTTAACCTCTCATATTACATGCTAAATTATCGGTGGATAATGTTTCAACTAGTCAGAAAGGTATCCAATAAATATAGTGAAATAAAAGTACATTGTTTGCCTCAGAATATTAGTGCAGTAGGAATTAAAAGGAGCAGGAAGTGGACATGCTCACATATTAAACTTAAAATTGTATCTAAGTAAAGTTATAGAGTGGCGAAGTCCCGCCCATCTACTTCCGACCCATGGGACCTTATTTCGGAAAAAGTATGTATTGAAGTCAATGGGGAGAGAAAGATTATTTTTCGATCCCGTTTGAATTGTGCCACGAATTACACATATGTTTGTCAATCTTAAAAAATAATTTCCATGTCAAAAAAGTCAGTTTGTCGTAAAACTGTTGACATATAAGACTATGAAAAATATGTAACTCGAAAGACTACAAATCTCACAATCCCGGTCCCGCATGCTGGCTCTTACGGAACCGACTAACTCCCCTTGTGTGTATGTGCAGCTTTCAACATGCCCAGACTTGTAGTGATTTTCACCTCTTTTAATACTTTCCGCCTCATTCTGAAATAAATACTGTAGGTGAAATGTGCCAACGTGACGGCCGTCTTGGTGTGTGGTGCGAGACGGGAGATGTAGTTCATTGAGCAGTTTCACACAAAAAAAGTGTTACTTCACAGTTTCACAACACATTTTTATTTTTTTGACTTGCAAAATTATCTTTTAAATTGACAAACATCATATGTGTAATTCGTGGCACAATTCAAACGGGATCGAAAGATAATCTTTCTCTCTCCATTGACTTCAATACATAATAGGCTTGTTTGAGATGAGCGAGACTGACGCAGACCTGCGCAATAGCGATCGCCGTCTTGCTAGTGCGTTGCATGATGGTTAGTGATTTTGTCCGACTTGCTCTGGAGGCTCGACTACATGAGACGTTAAAATCTCGCGGGACAAAGACACCCGCAGCCTTGAGAGCGAGTTTCTCTCCATGGGCTGCGGAAGCGAAATGCTTGATGGGAAACGACTCGCTGGTATCTCGAGCTGAGCGCTCATTGGTGGTTTTGACCCTGTGCTGCTGATGAAACTCTCCAATTGGCTCGGCAAAAGTCTGTCTTTAAACAACTCTCCTGTTATCTCCATCAGAACAACCTTCTGGATCCGCACCAGTCTGGTTTCAAGGCAGGTCACTCCACAGAAACTGCCCTCCTTACTGTCACTGAGGAACTGCACACTGCTAAAGCAGCCTCCCTCTCCTCTGTCATCATCCTGTTGGACCTGTCTGCTGCATTCGACACGGTGAATCATCAGATCCTCCTTTGCACTCTCCAAGAACTTGGAGTTTCAGGCTCTGCACTTTCCCTCATCACCTCATACCTCAAAGACCGCACCTACAGGGTTACTTGGAGAGGGTCGGAGTCCGACCCTTGTCAATTAACTACAGGGGTCCCTCAGGGCTCTGTTCTTGGTCCCCTCCTCTTCTCCTTGTACACAAACTCGCTCGGATCTGTCATTAGCCCGCATGGTTTTTCATACCACTGCTACGCTGACGACACCCAATTAATTCTGTCCTTTCCCCGCTCAGAGACCCAGGTTGTCGCACGCATCTCTGCTTGTCTAGCTGACATCTCTCAGTGGATGTCTGCTCATCACCTCAAGCTCAACCTTGACAAGACTGAACTGCTTTTCCTTCCGGGAAAAGATTGTCCCACTCTTGACCTAACAATCAACATCGGCACCTCTATTGTTTCCCCGACTCAGACTGCAAGGAATCTGGGTGTGATCCTAGATAACAACCTGTCCTTCACTGCAAACATCGCTGCTACAACCCGCTGCTGCAGATACACGCTTTACAACATCAGGAGGATACGTCCCCAGCTGACCCAGAAAGCGACGCAGGTTCTGGTCCAGGCTCTCGTCATCTCACGCCTAGACTACTGCAACTCCCTCCTGGCTGGTCTACCTGCATGTGTCATCCGACCGCTGCAGCTCATCCAGAATGCAGCGGCTCGTCTGGTCTTCAACCTTCCTAAATGTTCCCACCACGCCGCTCCTCCGCTCCCTTCACTGGCTTCCGGTAACTGCTAGAATCCACTTCAAGACAATGGTACTTGCGTACCATGCTGCGAATGGATCTGGCCCTTCCTACATCCAGGACATGGTTAAACTGTACACCCCAGCACGTGCACTCCGCTCTGCATCAACCAAATGGCTCGCTGCACCCTCGCTGCGAAGGGGACCCAAGTTCCCATCAGCAAAAACACGTGGGTTTGCTATCCTGGCTCCAAAATGGTGGAATGAGCTCCCCATTGACATCAGGACAGCAGATAGCTTACACACCTTCCGGCGCAGACTGAAAACTCATCTCTTTCGACTCCACTTCGAGCAATAGAACTATTAACAAAGCACTTATATACTAATAAAGGACTGGCTTATCTATAGCCAGTTGAGTAGCACTTGAAATGTGTTGGCTCTATGAAACCTGATGTACTTATATGATTCTGTTTTCTTCAAGTTTGTATTTTGTTGGTCGAACGCACTTATTGTAAGTCGCTTTGGATAAAAGCGTCAGCTAAATGCAATGTAATGTAATGTAATGAAACTCTCCAATTGGCTCGGCAAAAGTTTGTTGTTGTTTTGTGTCAGTTTTACGTCGCCACTTCCATTCACATTTTTCTTCATTGTTCCACAATGTTTATCATCATGAAATGAATATCTATATATTTTATACTATACTTGCACTTGTTACTGGCCTCAGGCCTAGGGGTACCTGAGCCAGCAGCAGACCTCTGTATATGAAAAACACACGAGGCAGAAATGTTAGCTTGTTTGTAGCTCAACTACAGGATTGAATCTGCTCATTTGGAAACAATCCACAACAAAAGCATTTATCCATGCTCATTTCCATGAGGCAACAACACCAGAGATCAATAAGGCAACAGCATCCACATAACAACGATGACATCATGGTAAAAATACAACAGAAATGTACAATAAAATCGTCACACTCAGAACTCACTGTTATCCTCACACTCAAATTCCAATACAATACACACACTTCAAAGAAACATCCATCCATCCATCCATCTTCTCCCGCTTATCCGTGGTCGGGTCGCGGGGGTAGCAGTTCCAGCAGAGAGCCCCAAACTTTCTTTTCCCTGGTGACATCAACCAGCTCTGACTGGGGGATCCCAAGGCGCTCCCAGGCCAGCGAAGAGATATAATCCCTCCACCTGGTCCTAGGTCTACCCCTTGGTCTCTTCCCAGCTGGACATGCCTGGAACACCTCCCTAGGGAGGCGCCCAGTTGGCATCCTAACTAGGTGCCCGAACCACCTCAACTGGCTCCTTTCGACGCGAAGGAGGAGCGGCTCAACTCCGAGTCCCTCCCTGATGACCGAACTTCTCACCTTATCCCTAAGGGAGACACCAGCCACCCTGCGGAGAAAACCCATCTCGGCCGCTTGTATCCGCGATCTCGTTCTTTCGGTCATGACCCATCCTTCATGACCATAGGTGAGGGTAGGAACGAAAATGGCCCGGTAGACAGAGAGCTTTGCCTTCTGGCTCAGCTCCCTTTTCGTCACAACGGTGCGGTAAAGCGACTGCAGTACCGCTCCCGCTGCTCCGATTCTCCGGCCCATCTCACGCTCCATTGTTCCCTCACTCGAGAACAAGACCCCGAGATACTTGAACTCCTTCACTTGGGGTAAGGACTCATTCCCTACTTGAAGTGGACAGTCCATCGGTTTCCTGCTGAGAACCATGGCCTCAGATTTGGAGGTGCTGATCCTCATCCCAGCCGCTTCACACTCGGTTGCAAACATATACAACTTATATGCATAAACACAATCTACCTCTCATAGTCATTTACATCATACACCAAGCAACACGTGTCTACATAGTACTGTTTAACCTTAGCGTTAGCTCCGCTAGCCGTTAGCCCCGCTAGCCGCTAGCGTCACATTGCTATACATAACTGCCTAAAACAACGATTAGACATATCACACTCAATCACAACACACTCACAACACTTATACCCCTTATACTGGGACACTATGGTGTCATTTGAAGTAGTGATGGCAGTTTGACACTGAAGCTTCGAACGGAGCTTCAACCCTGGACTTCCTATTCCATAGAAGCAGTGCTTCGAAGCTTCCTTCAAATCACGTGACATATGACGTCCGAAGCAGCAACTGCTTCAAATCACATGACATGTGACGTCCGAAGCAGCAACTGCTTCATTTCCTGAATGAATCACTTGACTGGTTCGCGGTCCATTCACGCGATTCAATGCACTGCCTCGTCTCGATTCTGACAGGTGACAGGTTGAAACAGTTTCAAATTTGAGTGCTTCAACACTTTATGACCGCTCTAAACAATGCGCAATGTGTGGGTTGTTGTCGTAGTTTGCGTTGTTGCTGTTGAGTTGTTGTTGGTATTGCATTTGAATTGTAGTATCATTATAGAGCAAGCCAGGAAGAAAGATAGGTCGTTCTGGCTCGGGAAACACTTCGAAATGTGGAGAAGTTGTGAACAAAAAGACAATTATCAGTAATATAAAAACAGTTCAATATTTTAAGGAATAGATAGCCCAGTGGGTAGAGCCGGCGGCCTGAATGCGGTGATGTC